AAATCGTGTTTTTAAAAAGTAACTAAGTAATTAATTACTTTTGAAAATAAGTAATCAGTAAAGTAACAGGATTACTTTTGGGGGAAGTAATCAGTAATTAGTTACTGATTACTTTTTTAAAGTAACTTGACCAACACTGGTCCCAAGGCACCAAACCAAAGGAAAACTTTGCGTCTATCTGTGAGAAAACAAAACAGCAGTACTGTGTGACACTGTGAGAACGAAAACAGACAGAAAACAAGAGCAATGCAACAACTTTCCTCTGTAAAGCTGCTGTTGGTAAACAAGCATCATAAAAGGCTGAAAGTGTGAAAAATTACAGAATTTCTTCTCACTGATTAGTTTAGATGAATGAAAAACGATTTTGTTGATCGGTTGTTTAATGGCTGCAGAGAAAATGAGTTGGAGATTTTCTCCCTCGGCTTCAGCTCCCTATTTTTTAATTAATTTCATAACCAATAAGAACCGAAATATTTGATCCTGTCGCAGTATTTAAGAGTGCAGATTAAATTTGAAATGCACTTTTAAATCTATGGATTACACGTTAAGGCAGACAAACACACAGAAGCATGAGAAAGACAGGGGTACAGACCAATAGCTTGAGGGGAAACCAGGTGACAGAAGAGGGAGGAGAAGAGGATAAACATCAGGGGATAGGATACCCAGGCCAGGTACTGCAGGGGGATGTTCCCCCTCAGCTCCCCGTGAATCCACTTATAGGCTGATGCAGGAGGAAATTTAAGGAGGAAACAAAAACAAAGTAAAAGAAGAAGTAAAAGAACCGAATTACATGGATAGAAGGAGAGAGAGGAAGGGAAATGGTTAGATATTAGAAGAGGACAGAAAGTGTTTCTTGCACAAACACCTGACTTGTGTTTTTGCTTCACAGTCCTACCTTGTAGACTCTTTGCACTGGCGTAGTCCATTGTCCAGCTGACCAGTGCCATTGTGATGCCCAGGAGAACCAGGAAGATCCAGTCCTCTCCCAACCTGGTCACAAGGAATCGCTGCACTCGTGCTATGCAGTCTGCACAAACCAACACATCCCAGAAGCTCTAAACGTGGAACTCACACAGCATCGTTTCCTGTCCTCACTTTTGCCTCATCTCACCTCTACACTTGGAGTAGGAGCGCTCCTTCTTCACAGAGGACGCGAGGTCGGGCTCAGCCGTTTGCTCCTCGGCAGCGTCGGTCTCCATATTGGACTGACGCCTGTTCCGTTGCCTGCTGTAGTAGCTGTATTGATGGCGGCTGTGGTATCCGTTTTGGCCACGGCGCCCGTGTCCGTGCCGTGTCCTGGCGTGGCTGCGGTGGTGGGTCCCATGTTTCTTGATCTGCCTCTCGGTCAGCAGGCGTGTGGCCTCCCGTCTGCCGGAGCCTCCTTGGTTTTCTTGGTACTCCCCATAGAGCTGCCAAACGATCAGTTAACAATTTTTGTCTTTTCATCCATCAGA